TGAAATCACGCGCTGCACTAGAAGCTTCAGGACCAACTTTAATTGTAATAAGTTCTCGACGAAGACACGGCCAAAGGTTGTGATGCAGTTGTGGCTACAGTTGATTAGAGATCGACCGGTGAAGCTTCGGAAGGCTCTGTGCCCAAGTTTTGCCACTATTGGTTGTATACATGCATCGTGGGGCATGTTTTGGAATTTGCCTTCCGCATCGGAGGCTTGTTCCTGCTCACCGCCTCCGCGTGACACCCGACCTGCGTGCTACAGAGGCGTCGCTTGCAGGGTAGAAGAAGTGCCCGACAGCCATCGCCTGGTCCCAAACCTTTCAACAGGCCCTAGCATCATTGCTTCAGCAATCCTGCCACAGGCCTGGCGATGGTCGTTGCAGTTGGCCACATGGAAGCGGTGTTGGGACACTTGTCGATTTGAGATAAGGTCGAACTAGCAACTTCTGAAGCAGTGCTAAGTCGACCACCGCTATACTGCAAAAAAGGCCCTTGTCACCGTGCGACGCATGCCATGCTATTGCCTCAGTCACCAAACTGCGATTGACTACTGAGGCACCTGTTCTGCCGCTGGCTTCTGGTCGGAGTTGGCAAGCCGTTCTTGAAGCTCTGGACCAGACAGGGGGTTTTGCGAAAGGCACTTAATCTGAGCTTGTGCGAAGAGACCGAGCATGAGTAAATGAAGACATCCATCCCGCACAGCTTCCCAACGCCCGTTCGAGGAACCAAGAATTACCAAGACTCTTCCTGGATGCTTGCAGCATGGGTTTGTGCATCTGCCTTTCACATCTCCAGCTGCAAGCAGCAAGTACTCAGGACATGTACCACCGTTCTAGCAGCCCCTTGGCTAGAAATGCTATTCTGGGATTCTGGACGTAGGTTTGATGGCCCTCGAAAACTTGAAGACAAAAAGGCCACGAGTGGAGACGAGTGCTCGTCCGGGGATTGCGGGGGGACTGTTGCAAGGAGCATTTCCACTGTGCCAGTGGCTGTCATACGGCTTCTTGTGCAATGTAGTGGCAGTAGTGGCCTCCACTATTGTTATCCCATGCCGCAGTCGCACACATCATGTAATGCAGGCCCATGCAGGCTAGTCGTACCGACGACATGGCAATGGAACTTTGCTTCCCTGAGGTTCGCTTTTGCTGAGAGGCGCTGATCCGGACTTCACCTGGAATATGGCGCTGGAGATGCTTTGCACACTGCCAGCCGCACGGGCCGCGGTCGGCGAGGGCTCCTGCAATGCATTGAAGCCACGAGCTGCACTCATGTGCTCGACAGTTAGACATTGCCTTCTTGCAGTAGCATCGGTCAGGAAATACTGTTTTTGCTTGTGGAAATACTGTTATGCTTGTCACGAGGAGGCTGGAGCAGGCATGGAAGGGTTTGCTTTTGGAAGATCAGCCCGAAGGTGGGGAAACGATCATTCAAGGCTTAATGGAATGCGATAGTTCGCACCACGATCACAATGTGCACTGAAGTGTAGCCCGTGAGGAAGAGCGGCAGGAACAAAAATCGGACCTGCGACCTAGCATCGAATCGAGGGAACATGTCGGGCAAGTGCCACAGCAGCAGCACAGGGCGAATATAGTATTGCTTGTGTTTGTGTGTGTGTGTTTTCTGATAACAAAAGTCGTTTGGAGCTGAGCATTCCCTCGATCTCGGCGTATGCCATTTCGACATCGACAAGATTGGATTACTGTATTACAAATTCAAACCGATCACTGGCACGAAATTCCCGGCGATGTTCGGCACTGTAGGTTCCATGGCACTGCTGAGTTCGCTGGAGAGAAGTCATTGGCAAAGCGCGCTGCAGATGAGGACTCTCGCGATAAAACGCATGGGGGCGGAGCTATCCTCAGAGCAGACTGTAGCATCTTGGGAAACTTGCGGGGCAGCCGCTTTCAAGCTCATGCACACAACAACATCTACTGAGTTGGTATTCGCTGCTAAGTGAACCTTGCAAGACCCTTGGCATCCCTTGGCCGTCGCTTCGTCGCCTTCGGTCCAGGACTGGCGAGGCTATCTCTATGGAGCCCAGCGTCCCTTGGGCGGCTGCCCTTGGCCTGCTGGAGGGCCGCTCGGTTCGAGGTTTGGGGTGGTTGAAACAGCACGAGGCCTGTCACTACTCATCCGCGCCCCTCGTTTCCCAGTGCTTGCACAATCGGACTGAGCGCTGCAAGGAGAGAGCAGAGAGGACACTCGAACAGCTTGGCCCATGCAGACGCACACCACGCATTGGCGTACGTGTTGACGGTTCAAGGTCAGAGGCACTGTCCGGCCTATAGAAAGAATCCCCCGCTTGAAAGCTTGCTCCGGCACGCATGAAATAGACCCCAAAATGCAGACACATGCAGACTGGTCAGCCCCTAGTGGTTCAGCAACTCACCAGTGCAGAAGACAGCAAGCCTATCTGTATGGGAGAAGTTCGACGTCAACAGCATTTGGCTTCGAGTGTGCAGAGCTTCGCGAAAAGCAGGCAGCAGCACTAAAAGAAATGCAGTAGAAGACTGTCACAATCTGCACATGCTTCGCCATCGGTTCACATCGGCTTCTTGTTTCATGTATTAGTTTTTAATTGATTGATGCATGCCAACCTGAGGACTCCGGGCCGGAAGCTTACTCCACAACTTGGGGACTTTCTTTGTCATGTGTGCCATTTGGTTATATGATGCAGTAGCCGCAGCACACTTGCATGCCGGGTTATGTATCTGCTGCACGTTTTGCATGTGCAGATTCAAAAACATATAGTTTGTGCCTTGTCACTTGTCGCCTATGACGAAGCTCTGACTCAGAGGATGCTCTGTCTCTGTCCTGCGATGCGTTCTGTGTATGCTGTCTGCCTCAAGCAGCTGTGAGTTTGAGAGTAGTGGAACATCATCCGCAACGCAAACGTTTGAGGAGTGCGTACTAAATGGAAAGTGAGACTCGGGCTCCGTTGGTTCACGTTCAAGTTTTCTCGGAGCTGCATGTGGCAGGCCACAGGCCTGTAGCGCCGCTGCGGCTGCAAGGAAACTGAAGTCTGCAGGAGGACCACATCCGCAGGAAGGTAGGACGCAGGCTGCGGCAACCGCTGGAACGTAGGCCTGTGGAGCCCGTGGTCTTCAACATGAAAGGCTCAGGAATGCGAAAATCGGAAAGGTGGGTACCCCGTATGCAACATCTTCCTCAAGAGATATTGGTGAGGTGATATTGGGGAGCGGATTACTCGTGACATCATCTGGACAGCAGGGAAGTGAGTCGTGCTCGTCGTGCTCAATAGATAGTCTCAGAAGATCGTTTGCCCTCTGTGCGGCATGGCTATTGAGTCTATTGAATATGTAGCCCTCCCAGCGCAGCCGGCGGAGCTTCGTGCATCCCGAACACCCAAGTGACAACCACCCCATCCATTACCGAGCCTCGGCTTACCGAGCCTCCTCAGGCGAATAGGGCGCACCCGACAGAATACAGTCACTCGGCGAAACGCTTGGCTTCTTTTGTTGTACCAAACCGCTGCGGAATAGAAGCATCGAGACAGGGCAAGCGGATTAGATTTTGACATCTACCTTGGCATGAAATCACATCTGCGTTTTCCATGATTCCTGCCGGCGCAGTGCCTGCGACCACGCTTCTACCAAACTTAATTACATTGCAAAAGCGAAGGCTCCATCTAAAACGTGGGAGACCAAGGTTTCAATGCTGCCATAAGCGCGTGCGAGACTTTTGCCCACTGGCAGCTCGCCTCGCAACTGCTCCTCAGCTACATGAGTCTCGACACATCTCTGAGCCAACCAAAGGCCAAAGCAAGAAGCCTGCATTTGGCCTTGTTCCCTACCATCCTTTGCGAGGGCTTTGCCCATTTCATTGTCTAGACTGGTGAAGCGACGCGGCCACCTCACACCAGAAATCTTACCGAAAAACACCGGACAAGAACGGAACGGTGCTGCATATTATGTATATATACACATACATGCACACTTATACCATACAGATACATACACAGGTTCATGCATGCACATATAATCACATATACATACACATGCATATCGCTAAATATGCAGGCAAATTTTGTTATTCAACAGCCTCTTGCATTACACTTATGTTAATCTTATCTGATCTCTTATTCCATACGATGTTACACGGTGTTTCATTTTCTACGTCATGCCATGTCATGCTATGTTGGCACAAGTATGTGTTATTGAGTTAAGCTTAAGTAGGTTTTTGCATGCCCTAATACGGCATATCATGTCATGTTATGGAATGTTGGACCGTGTTATGTTATGTGTTGTTATTCTGTTGTGTTGCGTTACATTGTGCGATGTTGTGTTATGTTGCATCATTGCAACATGTACGTACTGCATATTTCATTTGAAGCATCGAACAATACAGTATAATGTATTGAGTTTGAAAACATTATTGTTCTTTCATGTGATGTAATGATGTGCGTTATCGCATCATATCCTGTTCAATTATATCACATCGAGTTTGTAATGGGATTATACTGCAATGCGGTACATTATGCTGCACCAGATTATGCTTCATTCCGTTTTGTGACATGAGACAAACTTGAATTACAGTAAATGCGCATGTTGTCTAGCATTATCTTGTATGGCATTGTAATATATTTGTGTACACTCTAATCCAAAATAGCGTTTGATGTTTCATTCAACTACGCTGTACCGCAAGATAGTACATCTAGTACGTTCTAGTACTACAGTATAATACATTCTATTACGTGAGATTACATGATGTTACATTCGATTACGTTACCTTACGCCATCGTGCCGTATCATACTGTACATCGTGCCGTATCATACTGTATTGTCTTGTCTCGTACATGCATACGCGTCTGTGCATAGAATGCAGGTATATGCACTTTTGGGGCTTTTTAATAAAACTCTCAATTGAGGCGGCTCACTGCTTCTAACAATGCAGAGATTTTGGACGTTTCGGAGCTCTGCAGAATGTTGCGGATGTCGTATCCATCGTCGACCTGCTGCCTCGGCAAGGTTAGCGAGGATGCCCGTACTCGTGGTTACACCTGGAACCATCAGCCTCTCAGCTGCGAGCCACCCTTGCCATAAGGTGAGCTGTGTTTGTGCTGCCGTGCGGCACATGCGACGTGCGTCTGGGTTTTTGAGGGCGGCTTTGGCTTCGCTGCGTCAGCTGAAGGCTTCAACGCGGCCATCTCAGTCTGCGAGAAAGCATGGCGCTGGGAGCCCCTGGCCCGCAGTAGCGGTCTCAAGCGCTCCAAATCACTCTCAGGACGTCACCGGGTTTTTGTGTTGAGAGTCCATCATTAAGAGAACCCAAGCCGCAGACTTGACTCTTCTCCCCGAAACCTGAACGCCTTCCTCAGAGGTTCGTTCCATTATAGGCGATTGTTCTGGATTTACAGAGAGAGAGAGAGAGAGAGAGAGAGAGAAGAGTGCAACGACGTTGCACCTGCGGGGGAGCTGCCCCTGAGCCCGTGTATAGCCGAGCCCGTCGGGGCAATGCCTCCTCGGGAAACCCTGAAAACCTGTGAACCGCAGATGCGGTGGGTGTCCGCCTGCCTCCTCTGTCCTGGTAGAGAGAGAGAGAGAGAGAAGAGTGCATGGGGGGATTTCCCCTTGCGCCACAGCCCTGGCGAAAGAAAGAAGAGTGCATGGAGTCTGTTGAAACAGCTTGTATTGGCAAGCAATGCAGGACTCAGACCCGGAACTGAGAGAAGCTTCGCCCGTCTGCCAAGCAGGCATGCTCTACACCTGCTCCTTCAAATGGAGGAGATACAGGCGATTGTAGTCTGGGTTCGATTCTGTGCATGTGCGAACTAAAGGCAGCTTGAAGACAACAAAACTCTGTGCTCTTCGGCACAACTGATTTGAGAGGCGGTTCGGGATGTGATCACCTACAGCGCCGCCATCAGCGACTAGTTTGAGCTTGGCTTGGATGCGGGTCGGGAGTGGTTCCACGCAAGTTCAATTTCATGTGTTGCTGCAACGGCCATGCGAGTGAGCAGTTATAAACATGTCATTTCTTCTAGATTTGCCACCGTTTCTCTGCCACAACCTGGGCATGTTTGTCGAACAAGCACCCGTTAGAAGCCTGGCATTAAGCTGGAGCGGACGCTTCAGACCCCCACCTAGTGTTTCTGCATCACGAGCACCGGACTGCAGTTCACGGCACGCACGGTATAAGAGAGCAAGTCACGACAGGAGGACGGCAGATGCCGATGCTCCCCCCCCCAGCTAGCTGAGCACAAGCTGCGTCGAATTCCAGGTGCCTGTGCACAGGGCGCAGAATGGCGCCCTTCGCTGGCTCTGCTCGCAGAGCCGGGGCCTCACAGAAGACGAAAGACGTGCTCTTCGGCAGATTCTAACCCTCTTGCAGACCCCTCAAACACGTGCCTCTCAGGATGGAGTGTCAGGAAGTGATGCCCACAGCCTCTCGGCAAAGACTTGGGCAAAAACTCACCGGTACTCTCGAAGAGCAGGTGACGTAGAACCCCTACATTCCACAGCGACTTCGCCCTTTCCTAATGATGGCTGCCTCGTCAGGCTCAACATTCATGAATTGCCTAGACAAACCTGTTCTGTTTGCTGCGTTTGTGATCTCTTCTGACTCATCTGACTCTTTTTGTCGCAAGACCAGAGCCAGACCACCAGGTCTTCACACACAATGCCTTGATAACCGTCTGCGGCCGTGCGGGACAGTGGGAGTTGGCGCTCTGGTTTTTGCACAGGCTGGCATTGGGTCCGCTGATGGTGTTGGGGCGCCGGGACATTCAGGGATTTCTCACGGTTTGTCAATCTCTGCACGCCTGAGCGATGCGCTGGAAAGCTCGTCACGATCATCAGATCAACAAGCTGGGCAGGCTGGGCGATAAGCCTCAAGCCGTACGTAGCTTCAGAGTTCCATGCTCTCCGCGCTGCAGTCGCAGAAGCCCCTTCGCCTTCGTCGAAATCGGGGTAGGTATGTGTGTATATATGCTATATGCATATACACCCACACACACCGCGTTCCGGACATGACAAAGCAACTCACGATAGCAGACAACGATGCAACAAGCATGGGATCATGCCTTCAGGCCTGGTTTGGGCCAATCTGTTGATGCGACTCCCCTGTCCCTCGGAAGTGCCACTACTATCTTTTTCGCCGAATATAGCCGTTTGTCGATGAACCCATCAGCAGCCAAAACCCATAATTCTGGGCTTCTTGAATGTCCCGGAAATGGGAAGGCAAGTACTTGGGAGGACAAGCCACGACCACACAGTAGCCTGTTCTGACCAGCTAGAACGCGGGGGGGTGATGGTGGCGCAAAAAGTTGGAGTCAGCCGGGAGGGGGGGGGGGAAATCGGGAAACCTTAGGCTCGAAATGGGACTGCAGATGAAAAGTTCTGTCCACATGCTGGATGAACCATCTGACGTTTGGCTTCATATCAGAAGTTTGTGGGCCAAGCGTCGAGCATCCCCATTTCCCTTAATTGGTGACTTGTGTTCAGCATGTCGAAGAGAGCTTGCAGCCAGCATGGCAACGGTCGAATTTCTTCTGCGATGATGCATATCATGTTTGACTATGTTCCAGAACTGCAGTGTGCAGACAAGACTCCTCGAGTATGACACATCTTTCTCATTTAGCACCACAATGACAAGCTGACAACACAAACGAGCAAATCGACGTCGCTCGTTATCAACTTCGGCAACTGCTCCGCACAGGCAGTTGCTGGACCACATGCGGCCGGAGGCGCCCAATTAGTCCAGACCAAACTCACATAGCCCCATCGACCATTGGATTCGAAGACACTGTGCAGTCAAGCTCATGATTTCGCAAGCATCTAGCTGCCAGTTCTCCATTGGCAGAATTTACGAACTTGCAATCTTGATGATCCCCTTTGTGCTTTTTGGGAGCTCAGATTCGGATGTGATCAGGGTTGCTGGGATTTGGCACTGAAGACTGTGGGACCAACCATGATCGACCGACACTGAGTCGCGACATTTCCAACACTTTCATCTTGCAAAAATTCAGGAAGTTCTCCGAGGCCGAGAGCATGTCAGGATCAAAGTCTGAATTTGCTGTAGGCGAAACGATGCACCAAACTCCACCAAAGCAACCGCTTTGGGAACAGCTGGCCGCTTGTCACGGTTCAGGTCATCAGCTACAACGCTGCCATCAGCGCCTGTCAGACACCCGTCTGGACCGCAATTAGTGCCAATGCTGGCAGAGGCATGGGTTGCAAACCCTGATTCCTGATTTTGTGCGCGCACCAATCTTCTCCAAGAGACTGTTGACGTGTCACTGGAAGTGCGCAAGCAAGGAAGGCAGCTGAATGGGTGAAAGGGCTGCACCTTCTGGCGCGCGGCTGGGCCGACTTGCCCCCCTAATGCCCAAGTCAGTTCACGTGTACCTCCCAAGTATACACTGAACCCTCAAGCACTGGACCACCGCAGCACTGAGCGTAAACCTGACCTTCAGCACCGTTTGTTACTGTTGGCCGTGACAAGAAACGTGGAATTGCTTGCATCTCAACCCTCTAAGTGAAGATTCAGGGCCGCTCACCGTGATTGAGTGTGCTCCCATTATCAGTTTACAAGTTACGTGTTGCACGACTGAGCTTGTTGCACCGCAGCATGAATTCGAACAACGAACTGGGCAGACACGGCCGCATCATTCAGAGCTTGAGTTTGACATGCTGTGAATGTGTGGAGGTTGGCCTGTGCTTAAACATCTTAAATTAGGGCCTAAATGCAAAGGACGGTGCCGCACAAATCAAAAACCAAGTACCAAGATGCGAGCGTCCCTGCTTGAAGCCCCGTGCCCAAAAAAAAGCGCGAATCTTGAGTGTCGGCTAATCAAATCCCAAGACAGTGCCACCTGCACCCAAACTCCCAAGTCCCGAAAATATCTTGCATCGACGCCGAATCGACGCCCCTACCATGTTACTTTCGATTCCCATGCTTGGCCCAGGCATGCCTGCCCATGAGCTGGAGCCGAACGAGATAAGTTCCTCAGCACGGACTCTTCGTGGCCAACGGAATAGTTTAGGTTTAGGTTTTCGGCGTGTATCAAGAAGCAACGGGCTGTGGCACGGCGGCTGCCGGATCCTTTCGTTTCCGTGCTGAAGACTGGGGTCGGGGAATCCTCCGCCCATTCTGTCCCTGGCAGGCTTCACTGCAGCCGTTAGTGGCTGCGAGCAAGCCTGCCGAGATGGAGCGGCGAGTGTGGTTGCGAATGAGCCGTGAACCAGGCCATCATCGCACCTTGAACGTGGCGAGTCTTGACATGAGAATCTGGGCGACTCACCCTCAACAGCAGGACCAGTCGCCACCTTTCCAATGCAGACAGAGACGCCCGGATCTTGAGTACCCGAACCCGATCCACTTGGAAGGACGTTCCTCACTAGAGTCACGCTTGGATTGTGTGAAGCAGCCTTGCCCGCCTTGTGCGAGTTGCCAGAGTCGAATTTGCCCAAGGATGTTACAATGTTGAGGCCAGGCATGCAGTAGCTGTCATGCTTCAGAAGCCAAGAGCGTGGTGCTTTGCATTGCTTTGCATCTTGCATTGACTGTCGAGGGCCTTTGCGACGAAGCGTTCATCGACCACGGAGCCTTTTCGACAAGGCAGTCTGACTAGTCTGATTCCCATTTGTTCACGGCCACACTTTAAACTTGCTTGTCGTCGTCAGGACATTTCCACAACAGAGTCATGTATTAAATCCGCAGGCCTTTTCAGCCTGAAGGATTCGCCTTGCCCTGCAGGCGCACCACAGCACGCGCGGCATGAGCTTCCGTTGTTTGTCCAGGCAGGAGACTCAAGGATTTTGCAAAACTGCTAGACTATGTGGCCTCGTGACGTGCTTCCTGTGGAAGCTCGTCGCGGCGCGACTTTCGGTGGCATAGATCGGGCTGAACTGCCTGGTACTTCACTCTTCGGGCTGTCAGCCTTCTGAGTGTGAGAGTCGACTCCTCCTCTACGAGTGCCAGAATGCAACTGCCGTGTCCTGCAGGGCGAAGACGTTCTCACGTCGCAGTCCAGGCCCGAACCTTGGTGCTTTGTGGATGCAAGACATGGCCTAAGGATTTGCCTTGAAAGTGTCCTGGGATTCAGGCTTATCTAACTTAAACTAATTTACCTGAGAAATCAGTCATCCGAGCGACTCGTCGGTCAGAGTCACGGATCAGCCGCTGATGTTTGCACAACCTCTCGCAAATTCTGTTGCAGCCTCGATTTCACACATGGCTTGACTTTGACTTTCTCTTCATCGCACAGGCTCAAAGTAGTCGACATTAGTCAACGGAGTCAACTGCCGTTCGCCAAAACGGCGACCGACGACCTCTCGCAATGGCCAGGTCTGTAAATCGAATGGTCGAGGCCCGGCTTGCAGAGCCTCTTGAGAGTCTCAGATTTCGGACTTCGCGATGCTTTCGGGAAGCCTGAACCCCGTAAAGTTCGACTCTACACGTCCCGAGTGCGAGGGACTTGAAAACGCACTCACAACTTCTCATACATGGGTTCTGAAGTTGCGACGACAAGTTTCAACTGCTTTCAGCTTGAATGCCATATGGCTGCATGAGCCTTTCGCCGGTTTTGTAGCATCAAACCCAGCATGGAGAAATTCGCGACACTCTGTGTCTTACAGTCGCCCGGCCCCGAATTAGCCCTGCATCGAGGAGCCTCCGAATGATTGTGGCTGCTTCCAGCAACGCCGACAAGGCCCAGCGGACACCTGGATGCACGTCGGCCAAGGCCGGGGAGGTCGAGCAAAAACGTTGCGGAGATTCAGGACTGCGTGAAAAAGCAGCCGTTCGCAGCGGCTTGAAGCCAGCCACTGCAACCCCAATAAGAATCATCTCGGTCATTGGCGCGACGAGTACCGCAAAGAGGAACAGCTGCACAAATAAGATCAAAGGAGAGCCAATGCGAACATAGAGCCAAATGAACTGAAAATGGGGAGGCGAGAATCCGCATCGAGAGTCTTTTTGGAAAAGTACCCAACGACCTGTCAACGCATGCACCTCTTGCATACACGCGCACACGTGCTCTCGCTAGAGCACGCACACACACACACACATGCAAGAATCAAGCCCACATAGCCCACTCGTTCGTTACCGGTTGTTGCTTCGGGGGCTGTGTCCGAAAGTTTGGAGCTTTCTCAGCTACGAGACTGCAGTCATACCGTTGACGCGGTTCGGCATGTGATACCCCGGACTGCCTCCACCTGTTTGCAAGTGCAGTTGGAGGTTTCGCATCGCGGGAAACGTAGGAGTGCGTAGCCGGGCTGTCTGATTTGGGTACAGGCTTGCCATGGAGTGAGTGCGCAGTATCAATGAGTGACTGCATAATGTTACGCTGAACGAGCTATCTGCTGTCATGTTGCTGTGGCTGGTGATGTGCTTGTCAGAGCCTTTTTCTCATGAGGCAAGGGGTCCTACAACAAGGTCGAAGAGGTTCAGTATGTGGGCTCCGGCCACGGCAGCTATGTGCAAGAGCTTGTCACGACCAGCGACGGGATTCGCTTGCGGCCGGCTTGTGTAGCTTGCTCCATGCTGCTGTTGTTGATCACCTTGGTCACGATCGGTTTCTACTTTGTCGCAGTACATCGCCATCCCGGTCCATTATCAGACGGCCTTCATGATGCAACGCATCATATAGTTTATGATTGCTCAAGTGGGGCTGACCACCATCTGTGGTCACCGGAGCAAAAGGCTTATTGCTGCTACAATGCCGGTCGCGGATGCGGGCACCCGGCGGAACGGTACAATTGCGACGATGGATTCGATCAATGGAAATCTGAATGGTCACCAGATCATCAGCGTTACTGCTGCTATGCGCACAGAAGAGCTTGCAAGGCCAAGATTGTTGAGGCTCGGCTTCTGCAAAGTTCGTTAAGGCGTGTTATGTTATGGTGTTTGCCGTTCCTTCAGGCTGCAGGCAAACATTCCTAGTTTGCTTTCCGTTCCGGATGTTGTTGGCAACCCAGGACGTCAAATACGTGCCAGTCTACCACACCAGGACGGTGAACAAGTACATTCGCCAACCGCCACGCTACATATACAAGACTCGTTACAAAACAATCACCAAAAAGAAATACGTTCCCGTACCAGTACCCACGCCCAGCAAACCAACAGTGATTGTCAAGCACGTGGTGGACCATGTGCCTATTCCTGTCAATGTCGAGCATGTTGTGACACATGTTGCAGCGGCGGAAAATGCCGTCGGGCACGTGGCGCATTTTGCACCGGCATCTCGGCCATCTCATCGCACGCAGTCTCCATTTCCATATGATTGTGAGGCAGGCCACTTCACCAGGCATGGCTGGTCGCAGTCCAAGAAGCAGTGGTGCTGCTTTCATTTTCAGAAAGGTTGCCACCTTCTTCAAAGTTGCGAAGCTCCATGCATTTTGCCAGGGCAAGCTGGTGGCGAAGGCACCTGCGCCAGTACCACACGCTGGGCCTCCGCAAACATGTTCGCGGGACGAAGTGATGCATGCCAACTGGCGTTTCATCAGGTTGCAATGAACTGCCACTTGTGCCATAGTTGTCAAATTCACAGCACAGGTTGTGACCTCCAAGAAGGATTTAAGCTCCCTCATCCCGTGCACCGGCATCAAAGGGTCCATGTGATCCACCTGCTCCATGCGCCCAGCACGGGCCGGATCAGCACAGTAAACGATGCAAGCCAGGATCCCCATGGGACACGGCACCACGAGGTGCCTGAGCATTTTTCGCATGCTGTCTCGCATGCTGCCTTCAGTTGCGACACGACGGACGGGTCGACCTGGCAACTTTACAGCAGTGAGAAACCTTTCGACATTGTAGATCAAGCTTCGAACTGGTTTTGAACGATTCAGTCACATTATGAAGATAATGAGCAGACGGCCGTTTGCAAATGCCATGAAAATCTCACATGTTATGGATGCGCATCTTTCTCCGCTGTCTTGCAGGTCTGCGGCTGAGGCCCTGTGGTGTTGCAGCCACCGTGGAATGGGCTGTGCTGACTCCGAAAAGTGATATTACATGCTTGAGTTGCTCCGCGGCGGAGCCTTCTCCACACAGCTTTCAGCTCGACTCTAAGAGCTGTCAGTGGCAGTTCGTGGCTCTGGGCGTGTCAGGGTTGGAAGGCATCCGATGTCTCGACTCACTGGTGGAGTGAACCGCATTCCTGGTGAGAACCACAAGAGTGTATTATTTGCATCGAATTCGCTTGCAGATTTCAGTCAGCTGCTGCTGCGTAAACAACTGTCAATGGCACAAGTAAGAAGTGAACTCTTCTTTATCCATCGTCGTTATCGCATTTGACTACACAAGCACGCTTGTCTCCAGCCTTAAAACAAGGCCGGAGCACCTTCGAATCCATAATGCCGGCCATCTAGACCATCAAGAACAAGCCGGACTTTGGCCAGATAATGCAATGGAGACAGCGTGCTCGTTGACAAAAAGCTGATGCTCGTCGTGTAATTCTTCGGCTTGAATCGCTTCCGTCATAGTTTTCAGCCTGTGTAGCCCAGGAGAAACTGGAGGCGATTAACAATTTAGCGCGGTGGCAGGGTTCGGGGATGTGAACACATACGTGCTCGAAGGGAGGGATAACTGGCAGGTAAGTTGACCTCGCCTGAAATGTTTCCTCTAGGTCGTTCAGTCCAAATCGGCAACTAATGTGGGCCGAACTCTGGCTCAATAGGTCGATGGATCAGCGCTTAACTGTGTTGAAAAATAGCTTCAGATTTTTAGACCATGCCATCCAGAGTTCAATCAATTTACCGGTCTCCCGAGCGGCTTGAACCCGTGACGAACTCTGAAGACCCAGCGAGCCCAAAACTTCGTAAGGAAGGAACAAGCCGCTCAACAGTACAGGGCACAATTATTTCCTAAGCCCTAATTAGTTAAGGGGGTTACTGGCGAGATGTTAACGGTTAGCATGAAATACACAAGCACGGCTTCTCCTGTTTCACTCGGCCGATCGTCAAGCACTTCATAGGGGTTGCATGCGCAGGCACCCGGCAGGGCAAGCAACAAGCTACGTGTACAAGTTGATGTGGCAAGCTAATCGTCGATACGCGAAGCCGAGACACCGCAAGCTTTGGCCATTGATTCACCGACCCCAGGGCCGACGACGCCAAGATCAAAGGCCGATGCGTTGAGGCGGGCGAATGGCATAGTGTGGTGCTGTGAGGGTAATCTCAGTCTTGGAAGTCGAAGTCTGACTGTGAAGTGCCCAGCCTCCCTTGCGGCCCCTTGCTGTTCTTCCAGCATCGTGTATGTGCAGTTGTGTTTGTGCGTGGAGGTGCGGCTATTTCAACAGTCAGTAACTTTGGTGTGAAGCGGGCAGTGCTGCACGTGTGACTCCATGCAGTGCCTTGCTTGGTCAGGGTGTTCACACCCGCCGTCTCCGTTCGTCAGTCTCGACTGTCAGTGAAGCGGGCAGTGCTGCACGTGTGGCTAAAAGTGCCTTGCTTGATCAGGGTTTTCGCACCCGCCGTCGGTCAGTCACTCCGTCAGTCAGTCGCTCTGTTTAATGACAGCTGACCAGGCACAGGAGCTGCTTCAGACGAAGAAACAGCGAGGCCGATGATACGAAAAGGGACTGATGCACGTGGCATGTGCATCCGGCAGGTCTTGATGCTGTTGGTGTGCCGCGAGTCTTTAAAACCCAAGATTGCCAGTACTAGTAGCTAACCTGTACCAACCCTTTGGAATGTGATGGTCAGGAACTTAGACACATCCTTGTGGGAAGGCCCAGCCTGCCGCTGCAGGCATGGATTGTCAGGTCGGTGGTGAGCGAAGTTGTGTCTATTGGCGAACATGAGTTTAGGGCTGTCAGTTTTTTGTGGATAGGTTTTGCATGCTTTGGATTCTTCCAGCCGCCTCTGCTGTCGCAGGAAGAGCTACAGGACAGATGATGCATCTCCAGGTGTCGGACATTTGAAGACGATTCCAGCTGGTCCTTCCCAGTTAGACAGTTAACAGCTTTAAACTGTAGACGCTGTAGACTAAGGGACAGAACTACGACACTACGAAGGTTGGTATCAAAATTATCTCAGTCACAGTGGTATGGAGCTTGTTTCTTTCTTGATTGATATCCCCGATCTGGCTAGGAAGGCAGTAGCAGAGAGCTGCAGCAACGGATATGCAAGGCCACGAGATCCAGGAACGATTGTATCTCTTGTGATTGAGTTTTGGAACTGGGACAGCTGGCTGTCGGACTTGTCTGGCAGCTCTTGCAGCGCAGCTTGGGTGGCCGCAGGAGGTGTAGTGCTGAGCCTTGGTGCTGGTGGTTTGCATCACCAGCACCTTTTGCTTAGCGTCCTCCTTGCGTGTTCATCCCAGCCAAGCGGTGTGGGTGCAGCCAGACTCGACAGCCGGCCTTCCCGTCGTCAAACCTCCACCCTGCTTGACTGAATCCGGAGCCATTGCAAGCCTCGCTGGTCCTGGACCAAGCCCACGCCACCGTCCCTCCGCCCCATTGATTCTACATCAATGGAGGTTTGAAGCCTCATGCATCTGCTTAAGCCTCGAGTTTGCTGAGTGTCGGACGTTGCATAGCGATCCCTTTTTGCGGGTATTGCCAGATCTTCGTGGGAAGCTTGACTTGCCAGCATCGCCCCATGCCGCCCGCCGCGCGCCCCCATCCTCAGCCCTCAGCCCCACTGTCCACGAAGCTTGACACTGCTCGAACCTACCAATTTCAGAAGGCAAGCGTGCGCACTGCCCATGTGCCGAAGCACATGTGCTTGTGCGCGCTTGCCTTCTCAAATTGGTGGGCTCGAGCAGCGTCAGGCTTCGTGGACAGTGGGGCTGAGGGCTGAGGATGGGGGCGCGCGGCGGGCGGCATGGGGCGATGCTGGCAAGTCAAGCTTCCCACGAAGATCTGGCAATACCCGCAAAAAGGGATCGCTATGCAACGTCCGACACTCAGCAAACTCGAGGCTCAAGCAGATGCATAGGCTGTGTGGGCATGGACTGGTGAGGCTGCAGCGGCTGTGATGGATTTGGGAGGGCGGGGTGTGGGCGGAGGGACGGTGGCGACAGCAATTTTTCATTTACCGACAAACCTAGATGGAATTCTTGTGGCCTTGCAGCCCCAATCGCTTTGGCAGTGTATTTCATTACCCGGATGCCGCAGAGTTCTGTGCAGCACTGCATCTTCTATTGCTAGCGCCTAGCTCGAGGGCTTAAGAAACCTGACCTAGCACCGTCCTAGACACCGGGGCAGACCATGAACTGAAGCAGATGCATTTCGCGAGGCCTAAAGCACTGTAGAGCATGAAGCTTTACAGAGGAATGCTTTCATTCGCTGGGATCCCCCCCCCAGGTCCTCGGCCGCAGGGCACATCACCTTTCCGAGAATCAGTACTCAGCCTGATTCTGCAAGAACAACTTGGCATCCTGGTGCTGCCATCAAGGCTCACGTTCATGTCCGGAGTCCGGAACGCCTCTGAGCGCCCTAGGTCAAGGCGTTGTTCTGACAAGGAGATGGGCTAGCTGCTACTGTCGCTTCTGATTCGAGTTCTTCCAGAAGCTGCGTGGCTTTAGAACTTAGGAGACCCTGTCCTGCGCAAGCCCGTGCACGAAAAGATGCAATGCTTGCGAAGCCTAGTCCAAAACGGCATGTGTGTCCACACCTTACAGGGACTCTTGAATGTCAGGTTGCCGCCATGACAATTTGATCCTGCCGGCATGATGCACTTGCGTTATGGCATTGCAAAGGCTTCGTATAGCGTGCGTTGTGACCGATGCCATTCCAGCCAGAGTCCAAGACAGCAGTAGGTAGATTGATAAGTTAAAGCGCTGTCTATTCTGGATGGTGGTGGAGGGCGACCTGGAACGAAAGGATGTCGGCGCCGGAGTCGGGCTCAACACGGACGAGGCCAAAGCAGCAGGGGCCGCGGGTGGGTTGACGTGGATGGGTGCTGGAGGAGCATGGGCGTCGGGAGGCGCCGGAGGTGGAGCATGGGCGTCGGGAGGCGCAGGAGGTGGAGCATGGGGGTCAGGGGCAGCTGGAGGAGGATTTTGCCCAACAGGGCAGTCATGCCAGGAAGGATGTGTGGAATCTGGTGCCAGCGTGTGTTTTGAGCCAGATCCGACCACGGCTTCCACCGCACATCAATGGCAATATGTGGGAGAAGGACACGGCTCCTATAACCCGGTGACCAAAGTGCCTTGGTTGCATTGTGGCACGAAGGTCAATCGATGCGTTGTCTCAGCGGAACCTCAAAAGTAGGTATACCTGGCACCTTTTGAGGTGCACTACGTTGGGGCGGGCCTGGGTGCCTATGAAAAGGGCGAGGCAGCCGCTTAGATTCAGGGCTGTTGTGATTTGGCAGGTGATTCCAAGCCTCTCGACAAGTGTTCTGCCTTGGGAGAAGCCGGCAAATTGGTTCTACGTCATACCGTATACCATCATTTGGACTCTCTACCTTCATTTAACTTCAGCACAGCAGGTCAAGTACGTAGCTGGAAACTTGCGCTTAAATCCATGTACCAGTGTGCCATGTGCACCTCACGCAAGCCCAACTTGCAGGCTAAGCACCGGAATCAAGTCACGCCCAAACCGACATGGCGAGGCAGTGTCGCACGGCGGATATCGATGCCGGACGTGAACCTGGGCTGCAAGATGATGCAGGAAGGGCTTCGCTTTCAGGACAGGGTTTTGGCTCGCTAGCGATGTGCGACGCAACGAGGGCTCACCGAGGTCAAGGCCTGGGAGCCGAAGCTTTGGACAATCTGTAGGTTCGGCAAACCCACATTCCCTGGCTCCAGGAAACATCTGACTCCCCTGTGCTTGCCATGCTGATCAGACTGTGCAGCTAGACCAGGAATCAGCCAAGGGAAACAGCCAAATCGCTTGTCCCGTTGTCCCTGCCCTGAAGCAATCAGCAACCGTTATCAGCAATCCAAGTTTTCCCAGCACATCACGGCGAAGGTTGCGTCGCGATCATCGGCGTGGTCCTTTTCATTGCCATCTTCTTGATTGTGCGTCCTTTCTTTTACGACGAGGCCCGCCGACACCGGCATCGTTGACAGAACAGTTTTTCCTATGCCATTCCTTGCTTCTTTTTGCGTGCGCATG